CCCGGGGTATTGACGTACTGACCCCCCGAGGTACTGACCCCCCGAGGTACTGACCCCCCCCAGGTAAGGACCCCTGGTGCTGCAGATTTGTCGGTTTTATCGGAGTCTCTTTTGTGGTTGTGGTCAATTGCCAACGCGGTGCGTGAGTCGAAACACTTTGCGCGTCGTGATCTACTTTTTACAACGGAGTCAAATGGCTGCAGCGTTGCCGTTGCAGAAGCTCAGTGACCAGGCGCTCCGGGACATTACGGCGAGTCTGTTGGACGCCCTTTGGAGCTCATTTGAGACGACTTATTGGGAGTTGGAGAACCCGGCAGAGGCGAGTCAGAACGTAGGTGGGGAAGGTGTTTTCAGACGAGAAATAATTAACACTCGTGTGTTGTCGCTCGTGTTACGAAAGTCCTCGGAAGTCACGTTCAATGTGCGCAATTTGATCGACCTTATTGTGGCCATATCGGAAAGCTTCACTACCACACCAATGGATAACAACGTGATTAGAATGCTTAAGACGAATCTGGAAATACTTACCCAAATATTTAACTCAGCGGCGCCCATATTGAAGCATACCAAAACATGCCTTAACACCATAGAACGAAATCTAGCTGACGATCTTTACAGAATGATGTGCACTCAGAATGTTAAGTATGTAGACACTCTCTTGCCATACATGTTCTATACGTGTGCCATTTTCAAGCATACCGACGCGTGTCCCATACCCCCATACGATGCGTACCCCAGTGTGCCATGTGTGCCCCATACGTGCCCGTCACATATACCCCAGTACGTATATATGTGAGGGTAGATTAATGGGTGCATACAATAGCATTTGTAGGACGGTACATTTGTCAATTAATTTGTATTGTAAGATCACAACAGAGTTCCGCCGTAATTTAAGTCGTCACCGAGGGTTCTACTTAGAATATATGTTCATTCGATTGATGCTAACAAGTCCCGTGGAGACGCAACTGATATTAGTGAAGTCATTATATCAGATCTTATTGGTGGATCGTCGTGTATTTGAGCGCTTGTTTATAACGCAGGATTGTGTACTTTATCGTCCTAATGTTGTTCAGAACATTATTCAGAGGTGCTCCTGTTTGGTATTGTGTGACCAATATGGCTTAAATTTTGATGTTCGATCGCACTTGGCTAATTTTCTAGGAGCGGTTACTCATACACTCAGAACTTGGGTTATGGAAGACCAACAGAATGGGGCCACTACCTTTCATACAAATGTACTAGACTTCCTTCCTGACTGGTTACCTTGGAGTGGTTGGAGTGGACGTACTAAGCCGACAGTGGAAATGGCTGATGTAGCTCTACCGATAGAAGTCTGTTTAAAATATAAGTCGTTGATGTTCCATTACCTAGTACAATTTGAGAAGAGACCTACATGGTGTTTGAATAAGCTGATTGAGGCAAGGTTACTTAAGAATGATGTGATCAGTATTTGCAACTTTTTCAAAGAGCCTGAGTTGCCAATTAGTAAAGTAGGTCTGGGAAATTGGTTCGGTGAAAATAACCAGTTTCATATTGATTGCCTCCGAGAGATATTGAGCCGTATGGATCTATCAGGTATGGGCATAGAAGAGGCCCTACCTCGGTTCCTTAATTTATTTAGGCTGCCGGGAGAGGCGCAAAAGATTGATCGGATAGTGCAGCAATTTTCGAAAACTTACGTCAGAGACAACCCCACCTTTCTTACCGATGGCTGCAGACGTAACCTTAGCTACAACGGCACTTCAACGGCCGGTAGGAATCCTACCATTCAAGGATTCAGTGCTGAATCTACGGGCGACGGCCCTCTTATCAAAACAGCTGGGTCGGACCACCTCGGAGGGCCACTGAGCCGAGTCCCAGAACAAACCCACTTACTGCCCGGCAATTCGGCCCCCAATTCAACCGCCAATTCAGCCGCCAATTCAGCCGCCAATTCAGCCGCCAATTCAGCCCCCAATTCAGCCGCCAATTCAGCCACCAATTCAACCGGCCACATCGCGATAGGTAATGGCACAGATGTCAGCGTTGCAGATGTCAGCACAGCAGGTATTAGCACAGCAGGCATTAGCCCAACAGGTGTTACAACAGCAGGTATTAGTACGGTTGACCGAGGTGGCAGTAGCGGTACTGTTGGCGTGGACTGTGACGTTTCGGGCCTGAGTGCGACAGGAGACCAAGGGCGAGAGAGCATGTTCATTTCTAACGTCAACGCGAACGTCAACGCGAACGTCAATAGTGTGGAACGAATGGGAGTGGAACGAATGGGAGTGGAACGAATGGTAGAGGATCAGATCTCTACCGAGGAATTAACGGACTTGGCATATATAATCTGTTTTAGCGTGATCATGTTGCACACGGATGCTCACAGCAAGGAAATTCGTCCAGAAGCTAAGTTGTGTCAGGATGATTTTGTAAAGAACACACAAGCATGTGATGGTGGATCGGCAATCCCCTCAGCGTACTTGGAGCATTTGTACGCGCGCGTGACGGAGACAGAATGGACGATGCAAGATCCGGGCTACGTGGCTGGATTACCCTCCGTTAGTCTTGGTGCTAAGATTAGCTTCGAAGCTCTTTGGAATGAGGTGGAAAATAAACTCAAGACAAACCGTGAACGCTCTGGGTTCCAAACAGACCTTGGTGCCTCGAACTGCCTCTCATCCCGGAGCGGTCTGGGAAAGGCTGGAACGTCATCGGTAGTCGAAACGACCACTTCTCGGTTGTCTGGAACGGTAGGAATTGGAGCGACAGGAATTGGAACGGTAGGAATTGGAGCGACAGGAATTGGAGCGACAGGGATTGGAGCGACAGGGATTGGAGCGACAGGAATTGGAGCGGCGGAGTTGCAGGAGAGTCCGGGTAAATTGCGAGAGGCGGTGGAAAACGTGTCGGCATCTCCGTTGAGCAAGAAGTCGGACCAAAGTAACCCGGGCGGTGAGGCGAGTGGTGTTTTATTGGACGCATCAGACGCGATAAACCAGGCGGTGAAGGCCGTGTTGTCGACCGTGGTGCGTTGCAACATGATTCGGGCTTTGAAAGTAGACGCGTTGCCCCAGGATGTATTCGTTAACTTTCCGGCAGCACTCGTAGAGGTGGAGGTGGAAAATGGTTGGGAAGGCCGGTCAGTGGACCTGAATCCCCAATTGTTGGTGCACCCGGTAGTGGTGGAGGGAGTGGGGAACGGCGTAGACCTACCACAGCCGGTGTTCCAGTCCAATTTGGACACGGTCGTAGGAGCGCGGGGAGCGGCCATGGGAGCGTTAGAAGCATGCGGTTCGATCGCCGTGTTGGTTGGGAACCAAAGACTCTTCCAAGAAGTGTTAGCCGCACTCGCCGCCATTAGTGGATTGCTCATGGCCGTACCACCACACAGTTTTCACGCTTTGAGTTGCGAGAGCTGGCGCATCCTCTGCGCCCTCGCCACCTCCTGCGTCGAGGGCATCGGCAGCCTCTGGCACTGCCTTACCATCTGCGTTTCCGAAAGCGAGCGTTACCAACAGATTCACGCTCGCAGAGCTCACATCAAGGTCGCCCTTAGCTCCACACTGGCTCTCGGTACTTACAACGGACTCCTGCCGCCTCTCTGGCAAGACCATCCTCGCCGAGGCGGGACCGCCGGAAGGAGCGCTGGACCGTGCGGAGGTGGAGGTGCAGCCGGAGGCGCAGGGACTGTCTCCGGAAGGAGCGGAGGACCAGGTGGAGGACCAGGTGGAGGACCAGGTGGAGGACCAGGTGGAGGACCAGGTGGAGGACCAGGTGGAGGACCAGGTGGAGGACCAGGTGGAGGACCAGGTGGAGGACCAGGTGGCGTCGGACGATACAATAGCGTCGGACGATACAATAGCGCCAAATACTTGGACGAGTCCTCCAACCGATCCAGTCGACCGATCTCGCTCTCCGTCACCGCAATCTGGTCCAGCATACTCAAGTGTATTGAGTCGACCAAAGATCTAACAGCCGTTTCATTCGGCCCACATTCTGAACGACTTGACGCGGAAGATTTCGAACTCTACGTCTCTGCCATCTGCTCCGTCTCCCACTCGGAACTTCACGCCCACTACTGCAACCAATACAGAACCAACAAACCTGCGGATTCAGAAAAAGCAGTGCGACTCGGCACGCTGCATAAATTACTCGATTTGCAGGAACAAGCCGTTGGGAAAAGACCAAGCGACGAGCTTAAAAAGATTCTACTCTGTTACATATTCCCCCACCTAATAGAGTCTGCCTCACACCCAGATATAAACATTCAATTGTACACTGTAGACATCCTGAAATTATCTATTAACAGTGTGCTGGATCGTGTGCACACGATTCCTCAAAATAATATTCTGGAGCCTTTACTTCAAATTCTTCACAATAGTAGCGAAATAACACGCGAATTCATTGTCCGAATTGTTACAAACCTGGTAAAGTCTCGTGGACACCTTTTATATGATGGGTGGGCAATATTGCTGCAAATTTTGTCAGCATATATTCCTTCAAGCGAAGACATTCAGGGGTATGACTGGAAGGACTCTGCAAATGCCACAAGAGAACGCATCATAAATGGTTACAGAATACTGGAACACTCTCTTGAGCATCATCTGATCGTGCTCTTTGGCCACTTCGATTTGCTAGTCAAGGCAATCAGCGCGTACCTCAACTGCTATGTGCCGGTTGTCAACAAAACTGGCTCAGGCGTGGAAACGAATCTTTACGACTTTTCACGTCTCTCGCTTGACGCCATCTCACTGATCAGCAACCTAGCCGGGATTGTGTCTGGCTTGAAGGAGATTAACTACGAACAAGGAGCTAGATCTCCGTATGACAATTCCCCGGACCAGGCTGTCGCTACTTCAAAAGTGTCAATATCGAGGGCGGCCGTTTCAAGAGGGGCTATTTCCCGAGTGCCCGCTGGCCGAGCGGATTTGTCAACTAACCAAGTGGGCGAAGACTTTGTGCCAGGTCCACGTGCGCGAGAGTCCGACACGAAAGTCCCTGCAACATGGACCTCTGCTCCAGGTGCTTGTCCAGACGCTGGTCCAGGTGCTTGTCCAGATGCTGGTCCAGGTGCTGGTCCAGACGCTGATCCAGACGCTGGTCCAGACGCAACTGATTCTTATGACCCACTGGTCACCGGTTCGGTGACGGGCGGGGCACTGGAGGGACGCCCCCAGTCCCGGCCTCGACCATTGGTCGACCCGACGTTCCTTAAGGTTTACCGATCGCTGCTGCAGACTTCGGCGTGTGGTGCTGGGGACCAGCCGGCCTCTCCGGATGACTCACCGATAGGAGAGGGTGTTGCTGCCTTTTTGCTGCCGGAACCAGTCGAAGCTGGCGACTCCGACATCTCCGAAGGCGACCGGGTTGTGACGCAACAACGCGCATCCCACGCGGACCACCGCAGTGGGAGGCGCTACCCCACGGATGAGGACGCGCCGGACGAGCGAGTCGATGACGAACACCCCTATCCCGGACTGAAACTCCGGGACTGCTCCGACGACGAAAAGGTCTCTTCTGGCTGCTCTAATGATGCTGGCTGCTCGGAAGACGAGGGGTTGGGCGAAGGGGAAGGCTGCTCGGAGAGGGAGGGTACATCCGCCTATGATACGCGTTTCCGTATCATTTCTCGTGAGGGGGCCCTGTTCGACGGCCAGAACCTGGTGCGCCGAGCCGGATCCGTTTCGCCCAGGACGGCGTCGTCTCGTATGGGTCCGCGAGACACAGAGTCCTCTGAGGCGCTGACCAGCAGCTCCGACCTTCCCTCGCCGCGGTCGTGTTTGAGCGTCTCTTCCTCCTCGCCAGTGACCATCGGGCTTGATGAGACGGCCGGCACGCTCCAAGGCCGCACCTCCCAGTCACTGGAAGACTCAGACCTCACACCGGCGCATCGCGGCCCCAACTTCGGCATCACAGTCCCGGCCCTCGCGGTGTCTACCCTCGCGGGAAGAGAACGGTCAGGAACTACTTTTGTGGGAAGAGAGCGGTCGGTCCGGCTTTCGAACGATGACGAGTCGGCGGTTGGAGAGGAGCTTGGAGACGAGCTTGTTGATGAGCTTGGAAACGAACTGGCTGCAGCTCGAGGAGATGTCTGGGGTTCTGGAGACGCGCCTGTTGATCATCGGGTTGATCATCGAGTTGAAGGCGTGCCCGGTGGGTCCCCAAATCTTGGGCGTCCCCGTCGGTCCTCGGAGATTAGAGGTGTTGTGCCGGCGGAGGGGGAGAGGGGCGAGTCTGAGTCGAGGCGGGAAGTTCGGCCGGAGACTCGGTCGGGTATGGACTTGGAATTGGAGTATGGACATTACTGGGTGGCGTATGTGACCCCATTGGTCGGTGCATTGACGGAAGTGATTTTGGCTCCGTCGCAAACGTTGGAGTTGCGCGGGCGTGCTGAGGATGTGTTATTTGCGATGTTGACTCGGTTGTCAACTCGGGTGATGACGCCTGGGTGCTGGCGGCATCTAATGGGTTTGATGATTGGGTTGTTTGAAGCTCTCCTTTCGCGCGCGATTTTGCCTACACGACAGAACCTGATTCCGTTGGAAGCATGGTTGGGTCGTTACTTCAACTATGCCAAACAGCCGGTAGGGGAACGTGCTTTGGAGGAGGTGTCTTCTAGCTGGTTGGGTAAGACTGTGTTGGTCACCTTTCGAAACCTCTGTGCCCTGACCTTCGCCAGTCCCTACGCCGGCGAGCGAGACGAATACCTCACCGTACTCCTCTACTGCATCGGCATCTACTACACACAGGCCCAGGAAACCATGGCCCGTCTGGGCGACGATATGCTCAAACACCTAGGGACCTTCGCAAAACAATTCACCCACACACAATGGGACATCTTCGTACAGTTCGTCACCTATGTACTCGGCGGCACCGAACCCATTGAACTACTCGACACCGAACAACCTGGCGACTCTCTACCCCAACTACCCATCGACTTCAACATCGTCATGGCCAAAAGCATACTCCAACTCCTCCTCATCAGTACATCAACCAACCTGCACCCCTCGCTATGTACCTTCACTACATAACACGTTGTGTACAACACCTTCCTTGGCTGCACAACACCTTCCTTCACTACACAACACATCCTGTTGCCTACTCGTCGTCCCTCTTGATGGTCATTACTTTATTCTTACAGACACCACACAGAATATAATCAGACAGTCGGCGTACACTGTGCCGCTTAAGACCGTGTCTCGGTGGATTGCGCAGTTGGAGCAGATGTACATCTTCGCTCGAAGGTTCGATACGCAGCTTACCCGACGGCGTATGCTGCAACAAAGAGGCTTCATGAGTAACTTGAGCAATCTTCCCAGTCTGACGAAGCAGGAGAGAGACGTCACATCTTTCCTTGTTTCCATTCTTGCTGCGATACTGCGGAAGTGTCCGCCGGACATCCCACGAAGTTCGTCTGAGCAGCTGCCGGGTGCGACCGGCGGCACGCTGCCACCCGTGGCGTCCGGATGTCTTTTGCCGTTTGCAACGGCGTTGAGTGCTCGCGATACGTTGGCCGGTCGTGGGACCTTGGCGAGTCGTGAGACGCCGTTTGGCGGACTGGGTCGTGACACTTCGTTTGGTCGTGACACCTCGTTTGGTCGTGAGACGTTGCCAGGGCGTGAAACATTGACGGGCTCTGCCGAAGGCGGGCGACGGCTGCCTCCAATTTGTCTGAGTGGGAGCACCCACTCTGGTTACATTGGGCGACAGAATTCGTCGGAGCTCGGCATCGGGTCGCACGCGGCAGAGACTGCGGCCGCTCGCCGCCCTGAGAGCGCGGACACTCTGGGAAGTGCCGAGGGTTTGCCTGCCGTTGGCCAGTTCCCTGGGGGTCAGTTCCCAGGGGGCCAGTTCCATGGTGGGGCGATGTTGAATCGAAAAAGTTCAGTGGGGAGTCTGTCGGGTCATTCGGGGCCGGGAGCGGAGGTGGTGCACGACTGCAACGCGTACGACCCGGTCTTGGACTGGCTGGACGACTTCTTCAGCTTCTCCTTCCGATCCTATTCCGAGTTGGAGCCGGAGGAGCAGCTCTGTGTCTGGAAGGCCGCAGGACGCGGTCTCATCCAGGCCCTAAATTCCCAGACGCAGCGTTACTACTGCTGTCTGCGCGGAGCCATGGAAACCGATACTTTCGACATGCCCATCAAGACCGAGTCTGAACGAGAGCTGCATGGACTAAACAAAATGTTCGACGACTGCCTCTTCCCAGAACTTCTGTCCCTACCCCAGAACTTCTTCCTCTTCTTCGCTGAAGATATCTACAGCCTCTGCGGCGACTGGTTTGGCCTTCAACCATACGTAAGGGAGCCCGAGCCTCCCCTCCCCC